GGGGGGGGGAGGGGGTTGAATTATTTATTGTTAAACTTTATTGCTCTTAGTAGACTAGTTTTTCAATTAGTCGACTAGATGTAATAGACTGACAGTAATAACAACAAAATATAAGATGTTGAAATTAAATGCAAGAATTAAAGACACCAAAATTTTTATACTGGTTCTGATTCAATGTGAATTCTAGTCCATCCCCTTATGTTGCAAGGGAGTTCTCTTTAGTGAATGTGTTTCTTCGAGTACAAGGAGAATGATGTGATAACTCAGTTCTTATATTACTCGTCTCTTTTGATACAATGTCTCACCGGTGTTGTTCTCTCTTTCTTCTCTAACTTGTTACATAGCAGGTCTTAGAGAGCTACAATGTTTGTTTGCAGTAGAACAAAGAGAGGGTGTTTGGTTCGATCAAAGTATATTTTGCTAAGGTGTGATTACAAGTTTAAATACTTTGAGAGAGGCTTGAATTCTGGAAAGATTTGCCAACCCAAGAGATTTGATCCTTGGAAAGAGATTGATTCTTTCCAAGAATAAAGCTGTTCTGCAACGGCTCTTTTGAACCCAGAATCTTGATCCTCCATATTTAGACACTTGATTGAATATTCAGCGAGATCTTGATTTGTTTGGTTCATTTAGTTTAGCCTTGATTGATCCCGTCAGTATCTTCTTATTGATTTCTTCTTTCTTTAATCGCGTCTCTTGATCCCGTCAATCTTGTATATCAATCCATACGTTCCTTGATCATTGCTGATTGATTTCGCCAATCTTGACAGTTATCCAAGAGTTCCTATACAAAGAGCAAATATATTATTTTCATCATTAAAATTAGATCTAACATGTTGATCGTTCTTATTATATTTGACGGATTTTGGTATTGATTGAGTGTTGATTCAAAGTTGAGGTTGGTATTGTGGAACCAAATGTTGAAGTAAGACTTGTTCTTGATATTTCTATCTCCCTATTATTATTGTTCCTTGTTTTTGTGAGGGAGAGTGTTAATGCACAAAGGCTGATGCTGTGCCATGATTTGTGAATGTTAATGCACGAAGGGTGATGCCGTACCATATTGTGAGTGTTATAGCACGAAGGGTGATGCCGTGCCATGACTTTGAGAGTGTTAATGCACGAAGAGTGATGCCGTGCCATTTATTTTTTATTCATATAGTGAGGTTGAGAGTTAAAGCATGAAGGATGATGCCATGTACTTTCTCTTGCTGTGGTTACTTGTCCTTATCTGTTCTAATTATATTGGTTGATCAAAATTCTTAATTCTGCTGTGATCCTTTATCTTGTGATCCCCNTAGGCTCGACACTTACCAGTACATGGGGTCGATTGTACTGATACTGCACTCTGCACTTTCTATGTATATTTTGGTACTGGACCGAGTTGATCCTGAGTTTAGGTGTTGGCTTCATCTAATCAGAAACCCAAGGTAGTCCCGTTAGCGTCCGCATGCCCTGGCGTCCCCTTTTATACATTCTCTTTACTGTTTCATTTGTACGAAAATAGTTGTTTTTCCTTCAGACAAATTACTTGTAGTTAAATCTTAGAAGTTCGTGGATTGTGACTCCAGATTTTGGGTAGTTGCGTATAAATTTTAAGATTGTTATGGATTTTCGCACTCTTTTCAACTTGTTAAGGTTTAATTATTGTTAATCACTGAAAGGTTTAAGAATTTGCCTAATAATCACTGAAAGGTTTAAGAATTAGGCGCCATCACGGTCCGACGATGAGACTTCCGGTTCGTGACATCATTACCAAAATTATTTTTAACCGAATTAAGCTTTTGATCGATTAAAATGATCATTCATCTATCATACCCTTATTTATTTTAAATTTTCCTCTAAAATTACCACTCTAATCATAAAGTGTATCTTCACTGGCTCTATCAGCGTCCTAGTTATGGTACTCGGATATATTACTTCTCCTACTAAGAGTAATTAGACAAAGTGATCACATGTCACCTTATATCTTCATTCTCTGTATGGAGTACTTATCTATCTACATAAATTATCAAGTTGATATAGGTCTTTGGGATCCTATAAAAGTTTCTCCTAAAGACCCTATTTACTCCTTTTATTTTCTGCGGATGACCTAGCCCTCATAGCTTCCGCTAATAACAAGTTCGTGGACTCTATATCTCACTATCTATCCATGTTTTGTACTCTTTTAGGTCAAAATATTAGCAATGCCAAATCAAAAATCTATTTCTCCGCTGACCATAACTCAAAAAATGACATTATGGCCAATCTCAATATTACTGTTACTGAAACCTTCAGTAGATATTCAAGTTTTCCCATCCTAAATAATAAGCCCAAACCTAATGATCTCTTATATATTCTTGATAATATGAGAAAGTGCCTCTCGTCTTGGAAAAATAATTTTTTAAATCTTGCCAACAGAGTCACTCTTGCAAAGGAAACTCTTAGTTCTATCCCCAACTACTCCATGTAATATATAATCATCCTAAAAAAATCCAACCCAAATAGATAAATAATCAATATAATTTCCACTGAGGTCGACCTAAAATCGCAAAATATTGCATTACCTCACATGGGATGTTGTCACTCTAATGGGTTTACAGTACCTTAGCTTTATGTTTTGATGATCTAACAAGCTTACTGTAAAAGAACCAGATAAGGAACCCGATACACTTGGTACACAATTCAACACAACTCAATCAACGGACTCAAGCTAAAGTGAGTTTCTATGACTTCAGAAGATAAAGAATCAACACAGGGACCTGATCCCCTTGGGTTCCCCTGACAGCAGTACGAAGTCAACTGTCTATAGCTGGAAAGTGATTGCCTGCACTGTACACGCAAACAGTGCAACACAGTACAATAGTCACTTCTCATTGACCAACCAAGTGATTACATTATTCAAGTGATGTCATCCATGTTGTATTAACAATAAACATTACAACAAAACATCACTTGAACATTTTAGAGAATTCAATTCAAGCATTCAATTCTCAAGTACATCAAGAACAAAGTACAACACTACTATGGACCAGTTCCTACAACAAGTCTCTTGTATGTCTTTAGTTGAGTTGTAACTTTGTAATTTCTCTTCATTGTAATTCCTACTTTGCTTATCTAGAAGCTTTATTTAGGAACCCCTTGTAAACCATAAACCTTTAGTATTTGTGTTGTGACTAGAGTTAGTCATGAGTTGAAGTCTTTGTAATAGGTGTATTGCAAAGTAGCTTGTAATAGGTGTATTACAAGTTAGAGAGGGATTAAGAGTTTAATTCTTAGATTGCATAGGTTGTAATCTGAAGATTGCTCATAGTAAAGTTGAAATCCTACCAGTGTAGGTCGTGGTTTTTTATCCCCTTGAGTAGGGATTTTCCACATAAAAGTTCCCTGTTCTATTTCCTTACTGTTGCATTAGCGTCATCTGTGAAAACATATATAGGACTTGGTCTCTATATAGTTTGGTGGACTCATATATTCTATCAATTGGTATCAGAGCGGGTTCTTTCTATCAGGTTAACACCTAGAAAAGATCCTCATGGCTGTTTCACCGAACTTTGAGGAGGTTTAGTCTACCTACAGACCACCCAGGTTCAATGGCCAATACTATGGGTGGTGGAAGACAAGGATGCATGATTTTATCATGGCTGAAAACTCCAAGCTGTGGGATGTTATATGTGATGGTCCTTATATCCATACAAAAAGGTCGGAGATCCTGATGTGACAGTGCCTAAGATGAGGAAAGAATACAACGATGTTGACAGGAAGGCTGTAGAGAAAAATTTTCGTGCCAAGAAAATTTTGGTATATGGTATAGGTCCTGATGAATACAACAGGATTTTAGCTTGCCAATCTGCCAAAAAGATATAGGAAACATTGCAAACAACACACGAAGGAACTACTCAAGTAAAGCAATCTAGGATTGACATGTTCACCACTAAGTATGAGCTCTTCAGAATGAAGGACGATGAATCCATTCAAGACATGCATACACGATTCACGTCCATCCTAAATGAGCTACACTTGCTTGGTGAAATCATTCCTAGGAACAAGATTGTGAGGAAAATTCTCAGTGTTTTTCCCAGTTCATGGGAGAGTAAAGTGAATGCCATTATTGAAGCAAAGCATTTGCAGGAGATGACTATATATGAGCTGGTTGGGAATCTGAAAAACTATTAAATGAAGAAGAAGAAGGACATTGAAAGAAGAAAACCAAAGAAGGAAAAGAACCTGGTACTCAAGGAAAAAAGCAATGACTCAAGTGGCGAGGATAGTGACATGGCTTACCTAACCAGAAGATTTTAGAAAATGGTTAGAAGGAATGGAAATATACCAAATAAGGGCAGTTCTAGCAAGCCAAAGAACTATTACCTCTTTTATAAGTGTGGAAAGCCAGGGCATTTCATCAAAGATTGTCCTGCCCTAAAGCAAGAACACTTCAAACACAACTCTGACAAAGCAGCCAAGAGGAACCCGATTCCTGATAAATGCTTCAAAAGAAAGAACGCTGCTGACAATGTTGTGAAGCAAGCTCTTGTAGCATGGGGAGATTCTTCTAGTGAGTGTGAAGAAGAAGATGATGCAGGTGACAACTCAATGATGGTAGTTGAAAGTGAAGCAAATGAGTATGACTCAATATTTGCTTTAATGACTCAATCAGATGATGATGAAGACGATGACAATGATGAGGTAAATTTTCGGGATGTTCAGAGAAATCTGAAGTCCTACTCTCCTAGAAAACTCATGTCATTAGCTAATGTTTATTGATGCTTACCATAGTCTTGTAAATGATAAGGATGCCTTAACCTTGGAGTTAGGAAATGCTGAACAAACTAGAGATGACTTGGTAGTTTGTGTGGTTGATTTGAAGGAAACCATAGGTAATCTGGAAAATGAAAAGGAGGTTCTAACTGAGAGAATCACTAGTGTAGAACAAGAAAGAGATGATCTGATGGTAGTAGTAGTTGACCTAAAAGAAACCATTGAGAATTCCAGTAAAGAAAATGATGCCTTAGTGGAGAAAGTGGCTGTTATTGAGTAGGAAAGAGATGACCTCTTAGTGGTGATTGTAGATTTAAAGGAAACAATAGAGGAACTCAAAACTGAGCTTGGGAATTCTGAAAAAGGAAATAAAGTGGCTAGTGAGGCACACACTTGAAAACGAGTTAAATACTGTAAAACCTAGTATGTATGCTTCACTTGAGAAAAATAGACAACTTCAAGCAGAATTGGAAAAAGTAAAAAACGATCTTGAGAAATCCTTAAGTGGACCTGGTCCTCGGATGCTATTTCTGCCATGTACGCTAACAATGGTGGAAATAGGTAGGGAATAAGGTTTCAAAGGGAGAGAACTCCTTATAACCCTCATAGCAAGTATGTTACTGTACCTGATAATTGGTTGTGTACTTACTGTGGGAACAATGGGCATTTCAAAGAAAATTGCCAAGCCAGGGTTCAGTCTCTTCAAAAAAACAAAGTTTTTGTTGAAAGAGTAACTGCTGAAAGAGGACCAGGTGACAGCTCAATGATGGCGCATGTTACCTGCATGGATTAGAAAAGCACTTATTCATCCTCTTGTTTATTACAAGGGACCCAAACTTGCTTGGGTTACTAAATCTAACCCTTGATTTCCTTGTGCATGGAACAGTGAAAGGAAGCAGTCAACAATGGTTCATGGATAGTGGATGCTCAAAGCACATGACTGGGAATAACATGGACTTTCTTTCACTAAAAGCCCTGCAAGGAGGGAGTGTATACGTTGGAAATGGGAAAAAAGGGTACATTCTTGGTGTTGGAAAAATTGGAAAATCACCCACTTACTCAATTGAGAATGTGTGTTATGCCAATGGTCTTAAGTACAGTCTCTTGAGTGTCTCTCAGATATGTGATAAAGGAAATAGGGTGGAGTTCTTGTCCAAAATATGCACAGTTACAAATCTAGTAACTGGTGAAGTGGTTCTTAAGGCCAAAAGATACAAGAATATCTACATTGCTGATTTAGAGTCCCTACAAAGTGGTGATCTGAGCTGCTTGAAAGTAGTTGATGATGATTTTGAACTGTGGCACAGAAGGCTAGGGCATGCAAGATTCTCTCTACTAAATAAGCTGGTTCAGAAGGACCTGGTTCGTGGTCTGCCTAAGTCAAAGTTCAACGAGCACAAGGTTTCTGATACCTGCGCTAGAGGAAAACATGTAAAATCCTCATTCAAGCCAAAGAAAGATGTAGAACCTCAAAACCACTTGATCTTTTTTATATGGATCTATGTGGTCCTATGAGAGTGCATAGCAGGGGAGGAAAATGATACATTTTGTAATAGCGTATGACTATTCCAGATTCACTTGGACTCTGTCCCTTAGAACAAAAGATGAGGCCTTTGATGTTATTGTAGCCTTTGCAAAGAAAATTCAAGTGAAGATGGAGTCAAAAGTAGCATGCATTAGATCAGATCACAGAACAGAATTTGACAATGCTAAGTTTGATGAATTGCAACGAGAATGGCATTACCCACAACTTTTTAGCCCCAAGAACTCCACAACAAAATGGAGTTGTGGAAAGGAAGAACAGAACCTTTGAAGAAATGGCAAGAACAATGTTGATCGATAGTGGGATTGCTAAGAATTGATGGGCTGAAGCTATCAACACTGCCTGCTACTTGGTGAACAAGTGCATGATCAGGTCTCTCTTGAACAAAACTCCCTATTAGTTGCTGAATGAAAGGAAGCCCAAGCTGACTCACTTAAGAACATTTGGGTGCAAATGTTATATTCTCAACAATGGAAAAGATCAGCTTAGAAAATTTGATGCCAAGAGTGATGAAGGAATCATTTTGGGATATTCTTCTCAAAGCAAAGCCTACAAGGTATACAACAAGCAGACTCAGTGTGTTTGTCACGACCTAAACCAATGGGCCACGACGGGCACCCGGTACCTTACTCAATCGAGTACCTACGTAATATATCTTTTTTATCATTCTATCATAGATAAATGAACCGAAGTAAAGTATGGGGAAATACAAACTTATACATATGACATACTGGCCTATAAGACCAAAAATGGTCACTCGTACACTAAACATAGGCCGAAATGGCCATACAAATTTTTTACGTACACAACATATGTCTACAAGCCTCTAAGAGTACATAAATGTCGTAAAGTTTGGGACAAGGCTCCACCATACTAATCAATACATGTCCTAATCATACTCACCAAATAAGCGACTCTGGAGCAAATGGAACGCACAAATACCTTCCGTTGAGCTGATAGCCTACTTGGAGGACTCTCATCCTATCTATCAGGACCTGCGGGCATGAAACACAGCGTCCCCAGGCAAAAGGAACGTCAGTACGAATAATGTACTGAGTATGTAAGGCACATAAATAAGTATATAAAAGATATGGAAGAAACATGGAGTAATTGACTTAACCTGTAAGTATGGATAACTTTGTAAATCATGAAATACTTATAGTATCATACATATGGGTATCAATATCATGTCGTGCATAGGTACATATTTTATAACATCATCAAGCCCCTTAGGGCATCCCATCATATCATCTCGGCCACTGTGGGCAATATCATCAACGTCTACCAGCTAATCAGGTGGTGGTGCGTATATAACACCGTAATTTTTTCTTATATCCCATATACATATAATATACATATATACGAGTATATAACACCATCTGCTCATGAGTCAACATAAATGAATGAAATGCATGAGAAGTACATCAATAAAATCTCTTGGATTGTCATAAGACCATTATGCCTTTGAGTAATATCATGAAGTAAACTTTTTTCAACTTACGTATTTTTCTGAGACCCATGAACAGATGATTGAATAACAAGGTACATGAGAATTCAAGAACATAGGCACTTCTAATACTTCTATGAATAGAGCCTTTTATGGAAGTTGTGCATTTTCTCGTTCGTTTGTATCGTATGGATCATGACAAAAGGAAAGAAGGGATAGCCTTAACATATCTGAGCTGGTTCTCTTGACAATCCCTCTAACACACGTTAATTGTGACAAAACATATGACGACAAGATCGGAGTAGGAAAAAATTCGTATGATATTCTTGAGAAAAATTGTACCGGGGTTTCCTTGAACTAGCCTTTCACGTTGGATCTTGTAAGATTTTAGAGAAAATTCACATTGGATCATTGTCATTTTTCTCCTTTAATGGTATATGAATGTTATCTTAACTTTGAAAAGTCCTATACTTTTCCAATAAATAGGCCAAGAAGTCTTTACATGTAAATGAGTTGTCACTTTGTCTAGTGACTCATTTGTATAATTTAACACATAATATAATGTCTTAAAGAGTCATTATTGGGGTTTAAGGGGTGCTGCCATGTGAGTGCCCCTCACTTATCCAATTATCCACCCCCTTTTTCTTAATCAATCAATTAATTCCCCCCACTAGTCTAATAATTAACCAATTATTCACATAATTAAGAATTATTTCAAATTACTTAAAATACTATATTTTTAATACACTTTATATATCATACTATCATGGCCATATGGTACCATGTATGACATGAATTCATAAATATCGGGTATTATAACTCGGACCATATTTTATCCCAAATTATCAAACTTCGAGGAATTTCATTTTCTTTGATTTGCTTACCCTCTCTCCTTCATGAATATTCTCATCACTTGTTTGGAATAGAATAATACTTATAATCCCAAAATAATCTCATTCCCGAGCTTACATCGATTAACTTACGACGAAACATTAACGTACAAAAAATACAGGATGTAAAATCTCATTTCCGAACTCTCATCAATTTATTTATGGCACACTTTCATATATGAAAATGTGGGGTGTAACATCATTCCCCCCTTTGGAACATTCGCCCTCGAATGTTGACTGATGCTCTTATCATTTCCATAACTTGTAACTCTTGTAAATACCTTAATACTCTCCTTGCCATTTAGGCAACTGTTTTCTTGAATAAATCCAAAGGCCAGTGCATTTCCCCTTTTAGGCCTCTTTCTCATACCATGGTCTGGGGTCGGAATTCTTCCAATCTCGTAACTCTTGCTATCTTCTGTCATGCAGCATGTACGGCTTTTCCCTTGTATGTGCGCCTATGCGATTCTTCTCTCCTTTTTCCTCTAGTTTTAGCCAATTTCTAGGCCTCACTTTGTATGCATATACAGAGCTTGATAAGATGTCTCTCTGGGCCTTTATAGGTATATTGAAGTTCATCGCTTGATATTTTGTTGAACTTACGAATATTACTATATCTTATTTCATAGACCCAATTATCCATTCGTATGACTTTATTGCATCTAGGTTGGTCATACTATACCATAACTCTTACTTTGATTTATCGTTACTGAGGTCTACTACCAAACTCCATGTTACTTTTGTTGCTTATCCTATATGTATAAACCTAAGTCCTTTAAAGCTTCCTCATTACTGTTCCTCTTAAGAGTGACGGCGTAATCTCATCTCATACTTTGTGACTTTTGTCCATCTTTTGTTGATTCACCTCAATATTGATCTACAATATACCACTAATAACTTGAAACTTCTTATGTAATACCTTGCCACTAGGGCTTACGTCTCATCGTGGAACATTTGAAGCGATTTTCTTGATCCACCTAGGGGCGATACGACACTATACTTCCATAATCGCATTTCATAGCATCCCAATGTGATTTGCCTTACATGTGTATTTTTAATCCTGTACAATTCATAAAATCATTACTCCATCAGAGGGCCAAACATCATCCTTCATCTATCTTAATTAAATCTTCATTCTACTGCCAGGGTAGCATTCCATCTCCTCTAGATGCTACTAGTATTAGACTCCTTTGAGTTCATCCAGGAAATACTAAGCTTTTAATAACTTAGAGAAACCATCAGCTCTTCTTATTTTTATGGGTTTAATCCAGATGACTTATCCATTCTCGTCACTTTCTCAATTGCCCTTTCTTATCCTTACTCATGTCTTCCTAAAATCCTATCGCTTTACCATACTTTAGCTTGGGACTTACACATATTTATTTATACTACTCGCAACCTTCCTTCAATTTGCTTGCACCATAGATTTCCTTGTATTATTCAGGAACAACAAGCAAGATATCGCATCGTCTCTAACACTTCTTTACTCTTTTAACTAGACTTCTCGATACCTAGAACCATAGGCTAGAAAATATGCCACTGATGATGCCCTATCATTCCCGGATACTGAATCCCAATGATTTTAGCCCTCTATCTGAAGTATGGATTATTCTCAATCTTTTGCACCTGAGTATCTCGTGCGTTGTTCAGCTTTACCTTACTTATCTTAAAATCTTGCATCACATCTTCTATCACTTTCATAACCTCCCTTCCACATAGGTATAGTTCACATCCACAACTCGAAGCTCTATTATAATACCTCTGGTGCATGTCACACCTCCTTTTTGCGCGCCTACCCCGAAGGATAAATGCGTGAGGGAGTTTTTCCAATTTAAGTGACATTATTCAAAAATGGGATTATTTATTTATTTCAGATTCGCCACTTGGGAAATGTTTGGCTTTTGGTGTCCCAAGTCACCGGTGAATCCGAAACAACAGTGGAATNGAGATTCAGTATATAACCAGAGTTTACATGGGCAGTGCATAAAATGTTCTAAGTACAGACAGTAAAAAAAAGAAAAGACTACATTAAACTACAGCTTCAAATCTTTCCCATTTTGCATTCATGCTTCGAGTAGCTTACAAGATGTACCAGTGTATCAATTTGTGTACCTGGTATTTGGAAAGCAAGGAAAGAAGATGAAGATCAGTAGAAGCAGCAGTAAACAGCAAATAGCAACAGCAACAGCAGCACTAACAACCAAGCAGAATAAATCCCAGTGAACAAACCAGAAATAAACCAATGAAATAGTGCCAATATCCAACCAAAACAGACTCGGGAGACTCAGTTGAGACCCGGAAATACCAATGTTAATCACAGGCAGAAACAGGTGAATCCGAAACAACAGTGGAATAATAGTTTATGATTTTTGAACACTCAAAGAAAGAAGCTTGAAGCTTCAATGGAATAATAGCAGTTAGTGCTGATTTCAAACAGTGAAGGAAAGCAGAATTTTCTCCACTTCAATGGAACAACATAGGTTTTTCTTTTGCTTTTTTTATTGTCTATCTAGGATTGAAGTCAAGAAATGAGCTTTCTTCACTAGTTCAAAAATAGACTCCCTTAGGTTCTCTCCCCCTTTTCTTGTCCAAAATCCAGTCTATTTAAAGACTAGAATTGGCCATTCTTTTATTC